TTGAGACTTGTGCATAAACCTTGACCGTAGAAAACCAAACCACCTTAAATATGCAGCCAAACGTGTCACTTTACACATGAAAGCACAGAACGACAGCTACTGCCTCTCTTCCTCGTCTGCGTTTACCGCTGAAAGCGGAGTTCCTCAGGGTTACCCTCCATTTCTATTCATTTTGCAACGGCTTTGATTTTTCAAACATCCCTGTACTAATGCAGGGATAGCGTATTTAATATGCCGACGAAGTTGTATTGCCTACGAAAGTCCAGGTAAGTTACAAGCTTTTCAAGATGGTGCTTCCATTATTAAAACAAGCCTTTCCCGAGAATAATTTCAAAAGAAAAGACCATATGGCAGTACTGCACGATTTATGTCCTGGACGATTTCGCTGCATTTCAACATGGTGCATACTGCAGAAAATACAATGTGTATATACGGTTTTGGCATAGCAACAAAGGAAAACAAAATACATTAAAAACAAACGGTTGATTTCGACCGTCCTTTATTTATTTTAAAGCGGATAAATGCTCGGGAGTGAGAAGTGACTTTCGTCTCGATGGTGTTATTCGGTATTGACGGTCGAAGTCAACCAGTTTCGCTTTTATCCATGACTCTGCATCTTTTGAGGTTGCTTTCAGCATCTTCAATTGTTCGAAAATGAAGCCGAGAGGAACTCAGATTTCCCAACTTTATGGCCTGCCGAAACTCCACAAGCCAGGTGTGCCACTTAGACCAATTCTATCCATGACGAACTCACCACAGCACAAAATGGTGAAATGGCTGGTTAAGGTGTTAGAACCAGTTCATAGACTGATGGTCAAGCATACAGTCAATAACCGTTTTAAAACCGGTGGATGTTTTGAACAAGATCAACAAAGAAGGAAAACACAGCTTCCTTCGATGTTCAATCCCTGTTCACTAATGTACCAGTTCGTGAAGTCATACTAATAATCTGCGATCATACATAGAGAGAAAATATTCAACTGTGTCTACCGGTGTCCGTCCTTGAGCGTCTAATACTGCTCCGCACAGCCGACGTGTCTTACTCTTTTCAAGGGAATGCGTACAGGCAAATCGATGGTGTCGCAATGGGCAGGCCGCTAGGCCCAGTCCTGGCAGTCATGGCACATCTGGAGAAAAGGGAACTAACATTCTGGAGCGCGCTATCCTGTACAAAAGATACGTCGACGATACCCTGGTTATAACAGAAAGCTTAGAAGAAAATACGGAAATTATGGATGAACTCAACAGACTACATACAAATGGGCAGCCAAAAGACAGTAACTAAAACCGGCGCACGAATATGCGTGGTTAATGGTTGTACAAACTAAAACCGATACACTTCACAATGGAATATGAATCCAACAACACACTCAATTTCTTTTACATCAGTATGACTAGAAGAGAAGACGGAACGATTACTCGATCCGTTTATCGAAAGGAAACGTGGACAGGCCAATATTTACACTTCGAGAGCTTTGTGCCCCTGGAGTATAAACGTGGTTTTGTTCGGACCTTATTTGACAGAACGAGGCAAATCTGCAGGGAAGACAGAATTGAACAAGAACTGTAAAACCTCCGGGAATTTTGAGCAAAAAGTGCTTACCCCGAAGCGTTTGTTAATAAGCATAACAAGCCGAAAATTGCGAAAGAACCGACTGTGTCAGTTCCCAAATTGCGGATCACTTTGCACCTTCAATTCAAAGGTGATGACGTAAGCCACCTGCTCCACAAACGACTGAGGTCAGCAATCGCTCGAACCTACTACGCAGCCGACCCCCAGATCGTCTACCGGACAACCAGGATACCCACACCCCCGGCAAAAGAACGTCTGCCTCTGTACGCCAACTCTAATCTAATCTACCAATTCCAATGTGGTTGCGGAGCAACCTACGTGGGCCGAACAGAGCGACAATTACGCAATCGGGTGGTGGAAC